ATGCCAATATTCACAGAGCTTTTATGAACAAATCTAGCATCTATTAACTGTACTAACAATGTGCTGATATTGACAGCCTGGACCAAAGAAGTTCCCATTTCATTCCCAGTTCCTAGTACAACTTTTGTCTGACACCTGCATACTTAACCGTGCCTACAGGAGAGTCTGCGCATTGGATTACTGCTTCAGGTTTCATTCAGCTAATTATTGCTATTTCAGCTGAAACTACACACATCTCTTTTATCTCACATCCTGTGTTGGGAGTTTCCTAATGCAGAAATGTCAGTGTGACTTCCACACTGGATCTGTTCAACCCATTTCTGAAACATAATTTCTGGATTGCAGGAACCACAGCTAATACTCAGGAACAGTAGCTAACACTCAAGGATGATTATTCTTCTGCAGCCTCGGGTATTTTACGTTCTTGTATTAACTCACTTACCCCTTACAAACTCTGTGAAACAGGTATTAAAGTTCTTTTACAGATGTGAGGGTGATTTGCCCATGTTCATTCAGCGAGCAACCTTGGTCTTCTACAGCACCTCCCTCATATTTAGAAGCACGTGAGCCCACCACTCATACTCCTTCATGTTTCTTTTAAACATGAGGGTTTAGGAACTAAAATTTATCTTGGAACAGGCTGACATTTCTTTGACACAAGTGAAGAGCTCTCCCCACAGTTAGAATAAAACAGAAGTATCATCCCTTTCTCTGGTGATATTTAACCTTACCTTTTCCTTTGCTATTTAGAAACAGCCAATCTGAATAACTAGTTGCCAATATATTGCTAGTAAGAAACACTGTATTTAAAGCTTTAAACTACTATTATCCAGTTCACTGAAGTCCAGGTTAAAACCCTTTAAACCTTTGCTGAACTCTTCTACAATTCTTGGTAGTGGAAATGTAAACTTATCCTCAACATTTTACTTTGGAAACTGAAATTCAAAAGCTATCAAACTTCAAACTAAAATTTATTGAGTACCTACAGTGTACTAGACACACTGAAATTCAGGCACAAAACAGATTCCTGGCCTTGGGTACCTTATAATCCAATTAGTTGAACACAGAATAGAAACAGAAAACAAGTCTCATGTCAATGCTCAATTAGAGCCAACATTAAAGAGCTGGAATTTAAGCGAATCCAAAACAGCACCTAATCCTAAAATCATTTTATAACATTTATTTGGCCTTAAATTCCACAGCAGATAAACGTCACAAAGATGAAAATACATGGCAACAGTCTGGAGCACTATGAATAACTTTTATTTTGGCTCTTCTGTTTTCTTCTTATAATGGTCCGGAGCCGCCGTAGTACCAGTTTATCAGAGAGTAGCATGTCATCTTGTTGTTCTAGATAATCCAGCAAATTTTCGGTCCATTCAAGTGCAGCTTTATGGCTAATATGCTTCTCTGGATTCAGTTCTGCTTGCCTAGACTTCCTGGGAGGCTTCTGCTCAGGAGCCTTGGCCTGGTTCCTGGCACCTTCACTGTCAGTCAGCACTGGACAACTTGAGCCATTATTCCTGGAGTCAAACCACTGCTCAATATTCCCAATGTCGACATGTTCACAATCTTCTGTGTTCTGTAAAACTGTTGCTAAGTTAGCTGCTAAAATGGCTCCTTCGTCAATGTGCATGCTTGAACTTTCTTCATTGCCAGGGAACAGTTTTTTCCATGCTTTGGTTATGGTATTTGATTTTACCATGTTCCAAGCTCTCGATACTTCATAAACCGCATCCAACACTGTCAAATTCTTCCAGAACATTTTTGGTTCGATTCTCTTATCCAGGTACTTCTGGAGAAGTCCTGCTCTGTAGTATCTTTTGACTGTGGTTAAGACTCCCTGGCTCATAGGTTGAATTAAACTTGTGACATTTGGTGGCAAGTATTTCACGATTATTCTGCCATCATCTGAACTCAACAGTTCTTCATTCGGATGTGCTGCTGGGAAATCTAAAAGAAGCACTGCTTTTTCTCGAAGCCCTTTGGCCTTCAGATGCCTCTGTACCTGTGGCACAAAGCATTTCTCAAACCACTGTCTGAAAACTGACTGTTCTATCCATGCACTTTTTTGGCTGAAATAAGTGACAGGAAGGTTTGAAAGGTCAGTTCCTTTGAATGCACGGGGTCTCTTTGCTTTCCCCACAACACAAAGATTAAGTTTGTGTAAACCTGTGGCATTTGCGCAACACATAATAATGATTCTCTCTCTGCTTGACTTATACTCAGAACTCTGGTCAGCGTCAAACGCTAATGTCCTTGAGGGTAGACATTTCCAGAACAATCCAGTTTGATCAGCACCATAAATCTGTTCTGGTAGTAGATTTTCTCTCTCCACAAATTCCTGAAAGTTGCCACAAAATTCACCGGCAGCAGTTTCATCCCCCTTTAATTTCATTCCTTTCCCAGCAGCCTTCGGAATACCATGGCGCTGCTTAAATCGAGTCAGCCAGCCAGATGATGCATTAAAATCACCTTCCATCCCCAGAGCATCAAAAAAGAACTTGGCTTGTTTTGCACAAATAGTTCCAGACACTGGAATCCCATCTGTTTTCTGTTGGTTAAACCACTCTATCATAACCCTATCAAGCTCCTCATAGGTAGATGACTTCATAGATTTACGTTTGGACACCCCACTTGTAGGATCTGAACTGTTGGCATAGTTTATGATCCTTTCTTTGTTCTTTTTAATGTCACGGACTGTGGATTCACCAATTCCATACACCACCGAAAGTTTTTTGAAAGAGTTGCCTTCTTCAAGCTTCTTAATAATGTCAAGTTTGTCCTTAATTGTCAACACCACACGCTTACGTTTCCCTAACATTTTAGTCTAATATTTTAGACAATTAGTAACAACTTGAATTTGAATACAGACACTAGAAAATGGGAGTCTTAAGAGCTCTCTTCTGTTCCCTAAGACTTGGACGGTGTGTGATGGCAATTTTCACACAAAGTCTAGGCCTTTTCCCTTGCATTTTCAGACTTAACAAAGTCCCCAAGCCCAGGAGTAGCACCAATGAACCTTATGTTCTCTCTTCCTCCTTACACAAGTCTCATAAACTTCAGTCTTACTGGAAGCTAGAAGTTGAATCAATACTGCACTACTGAGATCTCAAATTATTTTTGTGCTGCTCAACGTGTGCCTTTACTGCAGGTAAACTTCTTTATTTAAGCCTCTAAGACTTGGAGTATTTGGGGAAAGGTGCAAGAAAATAATCTCTCTTGCAAGCTTGACAGGAAAATGGAGTGGGTAAGCTCATTGCTTGTTATCTTTGCCAGGCAGCGACTGTACGGAATGTTCTCTTCAAGGACTGCTATGGGTGACTCAGGTGAGTGCCTATAAAAGTCACAGCAAGGTGAAGCGAGCTGGACAGAAGTCAAGGAATGTACTTTAAAGCAACACGAGCTTATACCTATGGGCTTAGCAACTGGAAAGAAGGCGGACAAGAAGTGATGTCACATGATTCAAGAAAGCGTCAAAAAACTTCATTGGTGACTGGGGAGGTGGCAGGCTCCGTGAAGACGGTACAGCAAACCCGGCGTAAGAGCTCCACGCCACAGAAGTGCTGGAGCTTGAAACCTACGGGAAAATACCAAACACGTTTTCTTTTCAGTATCAGTCCGTGGCATTACCCACACCTACCCTGCAAGTGTGGTAGAAATCACCGCCTATCGGTGTGGCAGCGCAGACCACAAACGGCGCTCGCAGGCACGGCTGGGGACGCGGGGACCTGAGAGCCTACCTCCCGGCATTACGAGGCGGGCCGGCCGGGCGAGCTAGGAGCCGGACGTCTTCCCGCGGCCGCCGGCGACAGGGGCTCACCGCCGCAGCGCTGCAGCGGGAGAGCGGCCAGTGGACGCGGAGGACGCCCGGACGCCGGACGCCGGCATCACTCCCAGCGCGGCCCGACACTGCACGAGCAACGGAGGCTGCCGAGGGAAGCTGACCCCGGCTGAGCTGACAGCGGAGGAGAGCCGAGGGTTGAGGGAGCGCAGAGCGAAGAGGAGCGACTCTGTGGAGCCGGAAGGCCGGGGATTAGGAGCGCGCGCGCCCCCGCAGGAACGTGGAGCCGGCGAGGGGGAGGGGCTGCGCGGGCGAGCGCGCGGCCGAGGGCGGGGCCTCCAGAGGGAGAGGGCGGGAAGGGGTGGGGTCTCCGAAGGGGCCTCTGGAGGGCCGGAGGGGGCGGGGCCTCCAGAAGGAGTTGCAGTGAGGGGGCGGGGCCTCCTCCGGCTGTAGGCTGTGGGGCGGGGCCTCGGGGGGAGGGGCGGAGCTCGTCTCGGCATCGCTGGGGATGCAGGCGCGGGAGGAGGGCGGTTTCGGGCTGCCGTGGGTCTCGATGACCAGCAGGGGGCGGCGCACGCTCTCCGGGTCGTGCTGTCCCGGCTGCGGCACGCTGTGGCTGAGCTTCCTCACCCGCGGGAAGAGCCACGGATCCTTCTGCGGGCCGGTAAGACAGCTGCGTCCCAGGCGTGGAGCGGGCTGCGCAGGGCGGCGGCGTGAGTGCGCACGTTCACAGCCGCAGCGGCGGCCGCGGGACCGCCGGAAGGATCGATCGGGGTGTGCGGTTGGACTCGGCGGAGCAGCCGAGCGGCAAGTGCACCGGGCTTGCAGGGCTGGGCGGCCAGTCCCGGTGCTGCTGAGCCCTGTCACGGTGCTGCGCCTTCCGAGAGCATTCCCAGTCCACAGGGAGTTGTGCTGGATCCAGACTCCCTTTGTCTGTTCGCACCTTCTCACCGGCCGGCCTGCTCCAGTCCCTGCTTGCCCCCTTCCTCTGTCACTGGCATAATACTTTGAAAAGTGGAAGATGTCTGTTTTAAACACCTTTGCCTGACTGTCCTTCCCTCTTGGTTAGCATGGAGTAACGTCGCGTATTTGCGAAGCCAACATTTTTGCTAGAATTTCAGTACTCAGAAATCAAAGTGAGCGTGGACACTGCAGGAAGGATATAGGTTCCACGCTTCTTTTGACTCCCACCAAGTCTGCGCAACTGTTCACAGACTCGCAGCTTCCCACGCTGGCGTGTTGGGAATTGTTTGATCCATCGGTGCTGTGACGTTGTAAGTGGCTTTGTACAAATCCCTGTTTTTCCCAGGGGTAGACTTTCCCCAACCCGTCACCTCCTCTAGCTTCCAGCCAGCCAGTCCATTCTGGGAGTTCTGATTGACCTTTTCAGGTAAAGTAGAAGTTCATGGTAATTCTATATCACTTCGAAAAGTTTTCTTTTCCCTATTTGTAGGGAGTGGGAAACACTTGTGTCTGACCATTCTTTGACAGAGGAGAGCTGGCTTTCACAGCCTGTCAACCATGTGGAAATGAGGCTGCCTATAGCTAGATGGAACCTTGCCTGGCTTTCCCCTCGCTCCCAGCCCACCGGAGTCGCTTTGGCCCATGATGTATAAATAAAATAAATCTTGCTTGTCTTCCTAGCCTGCTCTCTGGGGTTTACTCTCCTTCTCTGTTTTTGTGTGTCTGTTTTTCTCCGGAAGTCTCTTACCTAGCTGGAGTTGATGTCTATAGCTTTCCCTTTACAGAACCTTCTTCAAATCCAGGTGAGCCACATCTCTTGATTTCCCCAAAACCACAGTAACACAAAACAGTTCTGTTTAATAGATCTTCACCAAAGGTAGCTGTGCCTTTACACAGTTTAGTTTCATCTGCAAAACTTTTGCTGGGACGATGAGTTGTAAATTGTGGCAGATTTAGAGTACAAGAGTTGGAAACCAGGCACTTAGAATGTTCGGTAAAATGTGTGACCCACGGGGCATGGTGGGGCATGCCTTTAATCCCAGCACTGGGGAGGCTGAGGGAGCCGGATCTCTCTGAGTTCCAGGCCAGCTGGGGCTACAGGGAGACCCTATCTCAAAAAGACCAAAAAAAGAAAAAAAAAAGTGTGACCCTGTAATTGTGGGTGTATGTCAAACATTTGTCCAAACACAGGTGTACAAACCAACTTGCATATCAACTGTGAACTGTGTGTGTCAATGTACGTTTCCAGTTGTGACAAACAGTGTCAGTAAGGTGGGGGATGTTGATAGGAGGGCAAGGGCATTTACTTGGGAAGTGTCTATCTTGTATTCAGTTTTACTGTGAACCTGTAACTGCTCTGAGAAAGAGCCTCCTTCAGCTGAGTGGGCCAGCCTGGGCAACTAGGAAGACTCTGTATCCAACAAAGGAACAATGAGCCTATTTTTACAAAGAGATAGTTCCAGAAAGTGCTTGTATAGCATGCTGGAAGCCCTGGGTTCAATCCATAGCACTACATAAAATGGTGTATGTTAGTGTGTGGCTTTACTTCCAGCCCTTGGATAGAAGTGAAGGCAGGAGGACCAGAAATTCAGTCACACACAGCAAGTTTGAGGCAAGCCTAGGCTATATGACACCCTATCTAGAATAAAAGAAGGGAGGGGAAGGAAGGAAGGAAGGAAGGAAGGAAGGAAGGAAGGAAGGAAGGAAGGAAGGAAGGAAAAGAAGGCGTGTTGGATATGGTGGTTTCTTTACAAGTTTGCTTGACCACAGGGAATTCCTCTGTCAGCTGTCCTCTTTTGGGTAACCGGTCTTGCTGTGCTAGCTTCTCATTTCCCTAGTCACCAATCCCCTCTCTTCCCTCTCAGATGCTTTGGGAACTCTCAGATTCTTTTTACTTTATTATTGAAGTAATTTTATAGTCTTCATCTTTTTTTTTAACTGCCTGTAATGCCAAATTCTCTCATGGGAGATCACCAGCTCTGTCTTGGCTCCCAGGCCCGCACTGTCCTTACGCCGGACAAAACTGATACCATGCGTTCCATTCGGGTTTTTGTATAGTTTATAATGTACGAAAGAGAGTTACTTACAAAGCCATACACCCATGGGCTCTTTCCCCTACATCTCAGTTGAGCTTTTCGATATCGGCCACCACCAGCAACCTCGCTAGCACCTTGCCAGTGCCCCACCAAGATGGTGACTTCCCACTACTTCTCAGCGTCTGTCCTTAGACCTTATCCCCTCCACCATGCAGTTGAAGCTGACTGGGTGGGAGGGCGACTGTCTCCCCCTCTGTCTACGTCGTTTCTTAGGGTTCAGATTTTCAGCTGCCACAGGTTCGTTTGGAGAACACGCCTATGCAACATTGCCTTAAATTCATTGTAGTTTATCTTGTAATCAAAAGACATTTAACACGGAAAGTGGTGGTACACACCTGTAATCCCAGCACTCAGAAGGTAGGAGACACACTTTGAAAACAGTAGCCGGGGAACCCTAGCATTTCCTTAAGTTCCCTGTGTTTTAGTTGTTGACTGTTTTTGTTGTGTTGCTTGTTTTGGTCAGCCTGGGATGTATAGCGAGAGACCCTTTCTCAGACAGACAGACAGACAGACAGATATTTCATCCTTGGACAGTTTACCACTAGTATTTTTTCCCTTCTCACGTCTGCCATCTCTCTTAATTCTTGAAATGCTATGTGATGTAAATGTTTATCTATTGACACACAAAAACAAAGGCTAAATTCAAATTGGACCTACATTATTCTACTGTAAAGCACTGTGCTCCAACGTACATACCAAACTACCAAACTTAAGCTCAGAGACATGAAAAGAAAAAAATGTACTGGGGATTATTTTTTCCTGCATAATTAAACTTTTCTTTTATTGAACTAGCAATGTCAAGCTACAAAAAAGGGCATTCCAGTCATGGGGGCACTATAAGTCCACAGTGTTTATCAGACTCTGACTATGGCTCATTTGAAAGTGAGCATTGTGAAAACTAGTCCAAAGTAGCTGGTGTTCATCCCCATGATAAACTCTGTGATTCCTTCTTCTGAGCTAGTGTCTATGTATGGACCTGTTATTGGTGCTATTCTTCACATAGTAGTTTTATAATAGAACAGCATGCCTCTAGGCAGAGTAAATTTTTAAAAAATATTTTATTATTTTTATTTTATGTGTATGCATGAATTCCCTGCATGTATGTTAGTGCACCCATGTTGTGCAATGCCTGCAAAGAACAGAAGAGGCCATTGGATCCCTTGGATCTGGAGTTATGGACAGTTGTTAGCTGCCACGTGGGTGCTAGGATTCAAACCTGGGTCTTCTGCAAGAACAACCAGTGTTCTTAACCACTGAGCTATCTCTCCAGCCCCCAAGTCTATTATTTTTCCATTACTAATATTCTTTGAGTCTCAATACGGGTAGGAGTAATAATTGTTCCCTTAATATACTATAAGTGTGAATTTGTCCCAGTCCTTTGCAGCTGTAATGAGACTAGAAGACAGAAATTGGCTAGACCATTTAGAGGCAGGAACCTTGAAATCAAGAGTTCTAGGGGTTTCCTTGCTTCTCTGGTTAGGAATGCCAGGAGGGAGCCCTTGTTTCTTACCCCTTCCTTGCCTGGGTTTTACACATGTGGTGGGTCCTCTGTAAGAACAGCCAGTGTTCTTAACTGCTGAACCATCCCTCCAGCCCCTGGCAGAGAAAATTCTTAATTGTAAGGGTCTGCTTTATTGTTTTAGTGTGCTTTTTCTTTATCAGTGACCCTCGTTCACAAGGAAATTTTTCTCCCATGATACTGAATTAATTACTTGATTAAGCATAAAATGGGATCATGAAATTTGTTATCAAGGTGCTATTATTCCATGAGAGTTAAACCTATTTAATATCAAATAATATATATTAATAGTTTAAAGTAGCTGCTCCCAATTAAAAGTCAGTGGGCTGTACTGAACCCAGGTCAGTGGTCTGCCTTCAGTTTAGTAACTATCCAGGGGAGTTTTTTCCAGCTAAATTATATTTATTTTTCTTTTGCAGTGTATTTTGTGTTTGCAGGCAGTTTATGTTATCAGTAAAATGAAAGCTTGCTCTTTGAAGTCTCTTCCGCTGCGAAAGTTATTGAGCTGTTATAAACAAAAGCCCAAACTCATTTTTAATGTAGAACCATTCTTTTGAATGGTTAAAGATAGGAACATTTCATTTGAAAGTTTCTGGATGAAGTGAATAGTCAGGTTACTCACTGGAAAATCCCAGTCAGTTGGTAAGTTGCAATAATGAATGATGGTGGAGTCTTTATTTTAAATA